ACTTGTTCAACATGCTATCTTGTCACTACCTTCTCTACCTAGTTTCTGAGCTAGAGTTTTCCAATTCACTCCAACAATAACTATACAACCAATTTTCTAGTAAAGCAACCTAACTATAGAACAAAAAAACTCTTGCACCACCAACACTAAAAGAAAAACCCCTATTGATCTAATACCCATGTCCTACATAAATTTATACTTACTGCTCCTAGAAAACTATCTCATTACCCCTATCCTTTTTGAACCCCTTAAATCATCTTATCCCAAATGGTACAACTCAATACTCAATGTGAATACCATTTTAACATTGTGAGCTATTCTCTGAAAGACTGTATGTCTTTGAAATATATGGTACAGAAATTGATAAAAGCCAGATATTTGGGTTTTGATGCTGAAATTAAGCCATCTATTTATGGGAATCCTTTATTGATCCATGCCAAGATTGCAAACAGTGCTGTAGATAATAGTAAAATTGACTAGCAAAATGAATAAAAAGTAGAAGCCTTAAAGCAATAGGTTGTCCTCACCAGCAATTATAGTCAACTTCTTTAGATTTCATAAGCAAGGTAAGGGGGAGTAAAAGTAGGTCTAGCATTTTTTGGCCCTAGTCTTAGGATGGTTCATGATGTGTAAACTTGAAACTTTTGGAAATGAATGAAAACTTCTCTTGACTTGAATTTTCTATAAATGGATGTCTTTGTTTACATTTTATTTTTTAGTAATGGTATGCCTAAAGGAGCCTATGAAAAAGAATGATGCTTGTAAATATGCTTTCACCGAACTTTTGAGGTGGAATGAATGTCTTTAAAAAACCTAGCCTGAATATAGGATGAAATTTAAGCTCATTCTCAATAATAATAAAGTTTAACTTGCATGTGATGTATCATTTGTTTGAATTCATTGTTTTTCATGCCAGCTAAGGAATGGTAATTGTGAGCATATTTTCATCAAACCTTCAAAGTAAAAAGATATTTTTAAATTTTAATAATAGAATTCACATCATGTATTTCTGACTTTTGGGTAATTAATAAAAGGTTCAAGGATAGTACGTCATAAGAAACAAGATCAATTAAATCTGCACACTTATAACACTCGAGCTTATAGCATAATCATAGAAAATGAAAATGCTAGTCGGATAGACAAAATGGGAAGGGCCCAAAGAGAGATTAGAAAATAGTTACAGGAATGCAATAGAATATGGATAGATAGTCAGTAGAATTAAAATAAATGTTAGTAGGTTTGAGAAAAGGAAAACAAATTGATGAAACATATAGGGCAAATGAGGAAACAATTGTTAAAGAACCATTGTATCCATTTGGGTTCACATATCCATATGTTTAAGACACTCATATATTACAAGCACATCCAACAACCCATCAACCTTATATTGACACTTACGCTTAGTTGCCCTCAGTTTAAATGAATATCAATCTCGGACCTATCCCCTATGATCCCATTGTGATACCTAACTTGAATGATCCTAAAGAATAGGAGAAGTTGAAAGGGATACTAGAGTTGGTAGAGAAACCAACATAAAAGACAAATATAAATTGTTGGAAAAAAGACTCAGGGCAATGGAAGAAAGTGATGTCTTTAGGAATATTGATACCAATAAGTTTAGCCTAGTTCTTGACCTGGTTATCCCTACAAAGTTTAAGATTCCTTACTTTAAGAAGTATGATGGAATGAAATGTCCCTTGGCACACATCACCATGTACTATCAAAAGATGATGGGTTACACTTATGATGATAAGTTATTGATTCATTATTTTTAAGATAGTCTTACCAAGTCTGTAGTAACGTGGTATGCCCAACTAGACCAAAGTAGGATTTGCTCTTGAAATAGTTTGGCTAGAGCTTTTCTAGCACAATACAAGCATGTTGAAGATATGGCTCCTAATAGATTGTCCTTATAAAACATGGAGAAAAAGTCAACCAAAACTTTCAAGGAATATGCGTACAAATGAAAAAATATGACATTCTAAGTACAACCACCCCTGACAAAGAAAGAAATCACTGTTCTATTTGTCAATTCGCTAAATATTCCCTGTTATGAAAGAATGGTCAGGAATATTTTCAAAAACTTTGTTGACATAATTATTACCAGAGAAATGATAGAAAATACAATCAAGAATGGCAGCATTCAGTTGAAAGATGCAATTGATATTGAAAAGGGAAATACATAAAAAAAAAAGAATAAAAAAGAGGTGCAAGCAGTCACATTTAAGGGAAATTTACCCAAGAACTTCATATTATGTAATCCTTATCTTTTCATTAACCCCACTTTCCTGTCATAGGTAATATCTCTCAAAGCCCATATCTTTGTCAACCAAGCTAGTATTTGGGCTTTCGGATAAATTCTCATCCTCATATGACCATTCATGATTTTGTTCTTATACTTAAACCTACCACCCAACCAATAAATAACCTAAAAAGACCAAGAAATGATTGAGAGAAACTTACAATCCTTATTTCTCTCCTTTTGCTTTTACTAATAGAAGGCTAATACCACACTCATGTGCCTTTGAAAATAACACCAAATCCATCGGTAAGGAGTTATGATCCTAATAGCAAGTATGATTATCATATGGGGTTAATTGGCTATTTGACTAAAAAATGTAAATAGCTAAAGGAAAAGATTGAGAATTTAATCAAGAGTGGTATTTTGACTCAAGAACAAATGGAACAATGGAAGTTGATTCTATCCAATTACGAAATGTGAAGAGTTGAAATGTGGAAGGAGGTATCGAGTTTTGGAAAATCAAGATAGGATGATTTTCTTTTGAACCTTTGACCTTTTGAGTACAACATTGTGTATGGTTCCCGTAAGAGTTATTTAAATTAATCTTGTTAGAATTTATTTTGGAAGAAATGAATGTTTTGGATTTTTCTATGAAATTTTATTTGCACAATTATTTAAGAATAAAGTCTCACATAAGCAGTTTTCAAGATAAAAATAAAAACAAAAAGAAATTTTGAAAAAAATAAGCCTTTTCAAAAGGAAATATATGTTTTCTAAATGGCAAGAATCTCAAAGTAATTGGTAATTACTATTAAAAAATAAACTCATCAAATACCTTTACACATTTCCTTGATCGTTCCTATGTTTCAATCATTTTGAATAACTTCCTTCACTAATCATAATCTTTTAAGGAGCATGAATTTCAACTTGCAAACTTATCATCATTTGATATATTAAGATATGAATATTTTTTTGGGCAAGGAAAAAAATAGGCTAATTTTGAAAATTCATTTTGAATTTAGAAAACCAAGCAAGATACTCTTTAAAATTTTTAATTGATAATTCAATATGTGTCGAATTTTGCCAATATGATTTAACCATCCAAATTCTTTCGATGACCATAGACACAAAAAAATGCTTAAATTTTTTTCTCAAGTAGCTCTTATTTCACATCTGAAGGCACATTGACTAAAAGAATCAAAATTCTTTCTCACTTAAAACAATTTGTTTCATGCATTAATACATTTTCCTCTCATTTTACAAAAAATGCCAAACAATTTGGAACCAAAATGAGCTTTTTTATAAACTATGCTATCAAATTTGGGATATTCCATACAACCTTATTTTCACCATCATAAGAACCTTGAGTTAAAAACAGATAGGGTATCACTAACAAAAAAACGACTAATGGTTATAACACAAAAATAAAAAAAAATAAAAACAAAAAAAACCTTTTATCTCCTTCTTCAAATAATTTGCTCTTGTAGCTAAGTGATTATGTTTGAAATTATGAATGATCATCTTTCGCTATCCATCGTATATAGAAAAATTATCCGCTTGCTACCCATTTGAGCTTATTAAATTTCTTGTTCCAAAAATGAACCTCGACCAAGGAACGTCTTTTACTTTGGGGGGCAAACTAAGGATATCTTCAAGAACTCAACTTTAAGAAAAGTTTTTGATATTGATAACGTCTAACATGCACCTCAAAGTTTAAGGTCCAGGGTAAAAAGTAAATAAAGTTTCAGTTAGAATCTTAAGTTAAAAAAAAAAAAAATAGGATTCAAGAAAGTAAAATGCCAAAGTTGAAGATAGATGTTTCCAAGAAAGAGCAAAAAAAGAAAGACATTCACCTTAGAGAGAAGGATCTAGGGTAAAAAGTGAATAAAGCTTCAGTTAGAATCTTAAGTAAAAGAAAAAAAAAAGATAAAATTCAAGAAATGAGAATGCTAAAGTTGAAGTCAGATGTTTCCAAGAAAGAGCAAAGAAAGAAAGGCATGCACCTTGAAGATAAGAATCCGAAATGAAAAGTGAATAAAACTTCAATTAGAATCCAAGCAAAAAGTGAATAAAACTTCAATTAAAATCTTGAGTAAAGAAGAAGATAAAATTCAAAAAAATAGAATACAAAAGATGAAGTCAAATGTTTTCTAAAAAAAAACAAAAAAAAAATAACAAAGAAAGAAAAACACATGGCTTTAAGTCCAAAAGAATGATTCATAAGATCCTAACCTAATTATCTTAAATAATATATTTTGAACTTATTTATCCATTATTTTGACACACTGAACCTTTGCCTACATTACATAATTTGAAAAATCCATTTTAATCAAATGTAGATACTTGGATTGAAAAAGCTATGTCCTTAAAAATTTGTATATATTTGTTATTAGTTGGTTAGATGTTACCAAATTCTTCATTGTTAAAAAATATAACGTCAAAGTGAAAACCCAAAAAGACCAATTTAAAACTAGAACCACTAAAAGGATTTTAGAATAATCTGATGGTAAATTTAAAATTCCATTAGTAATTAGTAATTGAATTTTTTGTTGATAAATATTTCGTCAATAATTATCGATGAATATCCGTCAATATTCCATTGGCATTTCGTTAGTAACTGGTTGATAATCATATTTAACTATTATTTTATAATTTTTATCATTTTATTATATTTTTAAAATTATTTTTAAAGTAATGATATGAATACTAAAATATATATAAATAGACTAAGAAAATAAATAAATAAAACATTCCATTTCATTTATAAAAAATATAATAATATTTTACAAAATTATTTATAAATTCTAATTACATGAAAATACAAAAATACATGTATGCTCCAAATCCTTAACAAACATTTGGTAATACCCTAAACCCATTATTCTAATGGTAGCAAGGAACCTTTCACTTTCACGCTAATCCTCCAATTTCTCCCTCTAGAACTAGTGTGTCTTTCCCACTCGCAAGGAAGAAAGTTCCAAACCATAAAAGGTAATTAAATTTATCATCAAGCTAGTCAAATGATAAAATATTGAAGAACTAGAATAACCTGAAATCTGGCACCAATGTCCAATGGTACCAATGTCCTCCCAGTAGCAATCATACAAGTAAACTTGGACCTACATAGGTTAGCTACCAATTAGACCTCTTGAATTAGTAGTTCTAGTAATGTTATTAAAAAACCAATGTGGGAACATAAACCATCATGCATCAAATTCTAACACTGGAGCTTTAATCCAGCATATATAACAAACTTTTTGTAAGAGTCTAATATATACTTCATGGATGAAAGTAAAATTTCAATCAAGCTGCTCACAACATGAATGTATATCTTGAAAATAATTAGTCTGAAACCATTCCTTACTAGAAACAAGACAAGACATGATCCAATCTCTAGATTGTTCTCATTGCATATGCCAATGTTGCAGAAGTAGCTTGATGAATAAAAAGCACCAAATAAGATGCCCATAAATATCATGTTTAAAAGCTTTCCATCGAAAAAGAAACAAGATTGGCTGCTATATAAATTGTAAAGTAAAAAACAAGCTACTAGCATTTACTTTTCAGCTCAGTTCCTCTATTCCATAATCGAATGAATACTAGTTCAGCTTGATAATGGTAACAGTCATTTAGGAGGGATGTATGAAAAGAATACTTACCCTCATCCCAATGGAAGTGGCACCTGGAGTGTCTTCACTTTCAAAATCATTGGCACCCAGATACTTTTCTGGAAGAAGATTCAACATCACATCTTTACTGACACCATATTTGTCCATACTAGCAATGAAAGGGATTTCTTTTGCTCTCTCATCATCAAGGCCTAAAATTGTCGTATCAATCTAAACAACTCCATCAAAATTAGAACAAAAAAGTTAACAGCTCTTTAGTTAAAACTTTAATACTTCATGTGAAAATCAAGATTCTACCAACATAGCTTTCAGTTGTTCTCCTTTCAGTTTCTCAGTGAATTCAATTATACGCCCTCCTTCATCAATCTTCATCTGACCATACGCAGTAGCCTGTTTTTTATCCATTGGCAATGCAGTTACAATAATATCAGCATCAGTCTCTCTTTGTGCTTGAATAAACGTTTCATAGTCCATTTTATATAAATGATCCCAAACAAGAATCAAGAATTCCAAAACATTATGCTTCTTAAGCAACCACAGATACTGCCTCACCGCACTCGCCGTCCCCTGTACATTCAAACTAAAACTTTTGCAAATCAAAACCCAAAAAGCCATAAAGAAATTAAAACCCATTCTAGCAGTAACTAACCTGGAACCAGTTTGGGTTCTCAAGACTCTGCTGAGCAGCAAGAACTTCAACAAACCCTTCGTTCTTGTAACCACCCATGTTACTAGCATTTGCATGGGAAAGGTGGTGGTTCAGAGGAGCAAAATTGAACTTAATTAAAATGTAGATTTTCGATATGTTACTGCTCAAGCAATTGCTAACAGGAATATCAATTAGCAAGTTAAAAGTACTATGAATCCCATTGCATTAAATACAATAAAAGAAGAGAAACGGCTTTAAAAATATAAAAACTAAAGGAACCATAAAAGAGAAGTGTAGGGCATGGAATAAACTGAATAACTTCAAGTGAAGAATCACCTCATTTTTAGAAGAAAAGAAAAGATATCTCCAAAATAAATCCTTTATTCACTAATCATTACAAAATTACTAGAAATGTCTCCCATTTCCCTTCCTCATATTCAGGCATTAAAGCTCTGCACATCCTATCAAAAATTAAAGAAAAATAGTTATTACATCTCGAAAAAGTTGCTAAGATAGAATTAAATAACAGTAACATTTAACACCACAATCCCACACCCGCCTACTTCTGAGTTATTGCTTTGCTAAAATACTATAGCATCCCTGTCCTTGCTATAGTTAATGGATTCAATAGACTCAAAACAATGCAATCCAACAGATCTTTTTCCCAACATGATTACAGGCTAGGCTAGGTGAGAATGAGAAGGAATACACAATATATGTTTATGATTTTTTTGGAGTAAGTCAACAGATGAAGTTGGCAACAGGCATACAGTCTACACCACATGATATAAAGAAGCAAATAGTACAATAGTGGATTTATTTCATTCATTAGGTTGTCAATAAGTTTTTTAAGATTTCATTCAGATTCCTATTCGCTGGAGCCAAAAAGGGTAGCAAATCAATTTAGTTAATACGACAAAAGACTTTACAATACCATTAAGTACTCAAGCAACAAAATATGAAGATTAACTTAATGGGGCAAAAAAGTACATGATATTATCAATCAAATTAGCTATTTCAAATGCAAGCAGGGCAAAAAGACAATCTTCAAATTAACAATTGCAACACATCCATTTTCACAAACGATTTAAATTAATATTACTTCTTTTTCTTCAGCTTCCAGATTCCCTTCCTCTAAACAATCAATCTCCACTTTCTCAATTCCATTCAAAATGGGTATGCTCAAACCATTGTTATAACTTGAATCTGAATCCATGTCTGTGCCACCAGAATTCCAAATAATATAAATGATGTAAACAAGGATAACATAAACAATATACATTGAAGAGAACCCATAAGTTTGCACGTTGTACCTTTTTTGAACAAAAGCAGAAGAGACAAGTGAGACGAGGGTGGACTAACGGAGACGAGACAAGGCTAATAGAGACGCGTGGAGACTGGCAGAAAGAAGGGCGAGCAAGACGCATAGATTGCTCGCGGGTGGAGAGCGTGGAGACCGGTAGAAAGAAGGGCAGTGCCATGGGTGGGCGATGAGGGAAGCGACTATGGCTGAGAGCCAGTGCCGACGGCGGAGAGCGAGACAGAGAAGCTGAACGACCGGGGAGAGGGTTTGTGAAGAGGGAGAAAAGAGGGTGAGAGTTTAGGGATATAATTACCGATTTCACGATTAGTGTTGGCATCGGGGCGGGTTTTGCTCGCCCTGAACCCGATTTGATTTAATGCTTTAATAAATTCGAATCTAATTTTATCTGAAAATTTTTTATTTTTTCATACCTAAATTAGATATGATCAGACACTATATAAATTGTACCCGATCCGTTTTGACCCGAAATTAATAAATATTATTTTTTAAATATAAAATATTATTTTTTAAATATAAATATTTAAAAATATCATTATATAAATATATATATAAATAAAAAATTAAAAAATTATTTTTATATATATATCAAGTCGGGTAGGGTCAAGTTTGCCTAAAACCCGACCCCGACCCCGACCCCGATTTTTTCTTCATGCTACCCGATCCGATCCGACCCGACACCTGATTTAAAAAAAAAAAAAATCGACCCTAAAAGGTCGGGTCGGACCAGAACCCATCGGGTACGGGTTTTTTTAACTTCTCTATTTACGATTCAGGGTTTTAGAAAATGATTCGGGGATTTCAATTTTAAATAATTTATTGAATTATCGATGAAAATTTCGTCAATAAATTTTATCTTATTTTTTTAAAATTTTTATAAAATATTTTATCGATGAAATATTTTATTGATAATTTTATCGATAAATATTTTATTGATGGATTATCGATAGATAATTTTATCGTTAATTTTCGTGTCATTTTCTTTTAATTTCTATCAAATATATACTTACTGGACCTTAACAAAATGAATTCTATTAGTAAATTTTTCGGACTATCAATGATTTTAGAATTATTTTATAATTATAGTCCATCGATAATTCGTCGATGATTATCGACGAAATAATTTTGTCAATAAAATTCCATTGGTTATACTATAATTTCTGGTAATGTTGGAGTCTTATATGTATCCATCACACTAATATCCAAAGCTATCCTTTCCAAGCTTTAAAAAGCCCAAACATCATGCAAAATTTTGCTGAAAAATTAAAAGAAATTTAAACTAGAAACAGGTACTAAAGAAAAAAAAATATGAACTTGCATATTCAAAGTAACAAAAAGCTTAAAATGTCTTTACAAATTAATGGAAAAATTAAAACAAGCTAAGGGAGAACCAAGTCTCAAAAAAGAATTAGAATCCTTAAAGAAGGGGTTGGTCGACCAATAATGTTGCTATCACCAGACCCCAAATAGGAGTGACTTTCTACTAAGGAAAAGAATGAAACATAAAAGACTCTCAATGCTAGCCTTCTATCCCTTTTTTATAGCCAAAAGTTGAGACATTTTACAACATATCCACCATCTAAAATAAGCCATCCTAGACCTCCAGTCAACCAACATAGTTAAGGAAATTTTAGAGGATTTTGGAAGTTGTTAGACATGGATTGCATGAGTTAGAATTTTAGATGACTTTCTCCAATGTGTAGCCTTACTTAGCTGGCCCAATGAGGTGTCTTCAAAGCTTCATGTGTGAGGTGAGTTATCAAGCTTCTAGAGCTTTCAAAGGTTGCAATTTTAGCTGATCAATTAAACCAATGAGGTGAAAGTAGCAAATTAGGATAAATGGTGACAGTTTCAACATATATAAGGAAGGTTGCTTTTAATGCTTTAAGCAACTAAATTTTTCGTTTCTTGTTATGCATTGGCTTGGCTCTAAGGCTTTTCTTCATGGCTTATTAATTGTCTTGAAGTGTGGACAAATAGGGCTTCATCTTACAACCAATTTTCAATAACCGAATCAATTCCATTTAGCAAGCTAGTGGCCTTATTTGGATATGATTATAATGGAATAGTAACTGTTGTTTTGTAGTTGATTTTTCTTCCGTTAAGGTCCTAACCAAGTGATGATCTAAGGGTCTCCAATATTGACCAATCTTTATGCTACAAAAATGCTAGGTCAGCTTTTTCATTTTTTTAGCTTAAGTTGGAAGAATGTAATGCTGATCACGTGACAACATATAGATAAGGTAGTGACATTTTGTCATCTTGTGTCAATGATCCAAATTGTCTTCAAGCAACTCATATCATGATTTGGTAGCTTCCTTTCTTCTTCATTCAGCAACCAATCATCTCTATAGGTCTTCATGTGTCATCAAAGGGTCCAAGCATTATCATGCTCATGGTTTAGCAAGGTGAAGTGCATCCATAATTTTTTATAGTTCAGCCTAGAGGTTCTTATTGTCATGGAAAATTTTGTTCCTTCCCTCTTTGACTTTGATTTGCATTTTTGGCTTAGTAATTTACACAAAAGACAAAGTAAACAAGCTTAGAGGAATTTTGCAAGAAATTGCTAAAAAATAAGCTAAAATTAAGTTTACGATGGTAAAATTTATATAATAAAGCTTAGGATAATTTTGTAAAATATAAAATTATCATCCACCCTATCCTTCAATCTAAATTATTGTTAAAAATAAATATACTACTTTGGAAGAAAGCGGTAGTGTTTCAAAACTTGGAAGGGAAACAATCCACCAACAAGTTTGAGCTACTAATTTTGACTCTAATTTGTTGCTGTTGTGTTTCACTCTCGTTTCTTGTTTCGCTAATTGGAAATACCAATGGATATATTATCATAACATATTTGTATTTCTTAAATTTCTTAGATGGATGAGGAAGATATTAGTTTATACACATTGGATGAAGCCTTTGCAAGTGTGGGGTTCAAGAAATTCCAAGGCATTGTTATTGCTTATATATGCTTGGCTCGGTTGTTTTGCAAAAGCAATGGAAATTATGAATCTTTTCTTCATAGAAATAGCTATTAAGATAAAATGGGGATTGTCCTCAAGTTAAAAGAGCCTAATAACCATCATTTTGTTTGTTGGTATGCCTTTTGGAGCCTATTCATGGAGCCTTATTTTGGACATCTATGGGAGGTGGCATGCCTCATTTTTAAGTATAATGTTAAATTCCAATATCCATACGTGCATATTAGAATACCAATTAATTAATTTACATGTATGTTTAGGGAGTTATAGATAATAAACAAAAGCAAAACTATATTTTTAGAGAGATTAAGTTTTCTTTTTCGCTTTTCTTTTATTGATGGCTTTCAATGGGTAGATACCGTTAATTAAAAGTGAAGAAGGGACCTTAGCCATATATTTTATTAAAACCTTAAAAGCCTTCCCATCAAAGACTTGTTGAGACAAATGCTTATACAACTGTCAAACCATATTAACCCAATAAAATGTGCAAAGTCCACACATAAGTGATCAATATTAAATTATTTGGGCTCTCATGCATGTCTCATATTAGGACTAAATTTATCAATCAATTTTATTAGACTATAAAATCACCAATTAATAATAGCACACTTATTGAAAATTCTAACATTCTCCCACTTGAACAATATTAATTAGGTTGTTTAATTTTAAGAAAACATAATTTAGAAAACAAGACTCTATGATGATTAACTTACTTTGACATAGCCATAGTTTTAAAGACAATTAACCTTGGAGACAACATAGTAATGATCATGTCCAATAAAATCATCCAATACCAAATCATGGCAACCTTTATACCTTTTATTAACATAAGACCATGTTAGGAAATTTGCCTTTTAATCCAATAATTTTATGACATATTTTAATGATAAGAGTTATTATCTTAAAAATAATTATTTTTATATTTGGGAATGTGTTTTACATTTACGTGATAAATGGTTGTTCATTTGACTATATAGAATGTTATTAGGATATATTAATATAATTAATATGCAAAAGATCTTAATTATATTATATGTTTAATTAATTTATTCACAATATTAATAGAATTGTGAAATTCTATTTGTAAAGATTGTAATGCACCAATGAGATGGTTTGTTTTGATCATGAAAGTGAGACATTGATTTGGTATGCTAATACATTTGGAATTCATTGAATTAGACTGTGGTGAGAATGTATCCTTTCAACATTGTCACTTATAAGATATAATTCTAAATGCTACTAATATATAAAAGTCTTCAATCCTGAGAATTATGAACTTTAATTTATTATTATATTTTATTTAATAAACCAATGAGTGCTATTTATTATCAATTAATCACTAAAATAAAATTTTCATATATTGATATTTGGCTATACCGATGGTCAAATTGTGTTTGCTAAAAGTGATCTATACTGATGGATTTTTAATGCCATTAGAATGTACAAGATATATAACAACATCTTATTCAACTGTCAGTATAGATTAGTCTTTTTATTACAATCTAAGAACAATTGTCAGTACAAATATATTATAACTGAAGATGTGATTATAACTGTCGATATAAGTGGTAAATAAAAAATTTACTTGCCTTTTTTAGATAGCGTGATTTTTATTTTTCTTAATTAATTTTTTTTTCATTTTTAAATTAAAAATAACAATATACCAATGGTTTGATCATTGGTATAGGCAAGTTTATATTTGATATAACTTTTTTATTGACATTAATTTATATTGACGTTCATAGTTCGTAACTAAAAATGGCATATATTGATAGATTTTTGTTCTATTAGAAAAAGTGAAGAAAATACTGATAGTTTTTTTAACCATTGATAAAATAGATTTTATATTTTAGTTATTGTTTCTTTCCATTTTATGATAAGTTGTATTTTTTTCTTTAAAAAACAATCCCATTTCTCTTTATATTCATAGCCACCGTTACAACAAATAATCTCTTTCCTTGGCTCTGTCGCTACCATATTCATTGCTACAGGCAGTAGTCCCCTTCCACTGACAGTCCATCTTGGTTGCTTGATTGTTGCTTTCTATATAATCTGCAAGTGCATAGATTGCATCAAATGGTAAAGTAAGCAAGTAAGGTATCATTTCGATGAGAATTATGATTTGAATGTGGGGTGTGAAACCAAGTATTAAAGGTGATGTTTTATTATTGCATTTAAATTTTAGCTTTTTTATGTCAATTTTAGTGAAATTTGACTTATATTTTAGCTTGTTCGTTGGCATTTCTTGGTTAAAATCTCCTAAAAGCATATTTGTCTTATGTATTGGTACAAT